CCCCTCCATGGGCTGGGTGTGGACTTCAATCGGACTGCGCGTGGATGCGGTCCGAATTTTTGTCTTTCTATACGGAGTCGACTCGCCAATCTATGTAGAAATATTTGCCAAATTCCAGGCGTTCTGCGCCTCTGTGGAGCTCCAAGCGCTTCCAGCCCGCCCGTCCACGATTTACCGCTACATTTGGTTCCTGCGGGAGGAAGGCCGGGTGGGCGTCCGCAGCCTCCCTCAATACCTGGCTGCCATTTCCGTGGTGCACCAGGTGGCGGGCCATCTTCAGTTTTTGGCTTTCGACCAGGTGACCCGCTTGCTCACCCGGGCCTGGCGTTGCCAATGCCCGGAGCCGGCTTCCTCCCATGCTCCGGTGCCGGCGGCTTTGATGCTCCGCATTCTGGATATGGGCCGGCGGACGGAGGACCTGTTGCTGCTGCAGTCGTCCGTCTTTGCCCTGCTCGACTTTCTCTTCTTTAACCGGGCCCAGAGTGGCCATTTCATTATGTTGTCCAATGTGCGGGTGGCGGATGGCGTCATCGTCTTCAGGGAGCATAAGACCAAACTCAAGAGCGGCATGGACCTGGCTATGCGCTTACGCTCCTGGCCATCCCGGGGCGCCCCCGAGATCTTCGACCTTCTCCTTTGATAGGGCGCATTCCGGGATGGCGCCTGGGCGGACGCTGGCGGGTCTCCGTCGCATTTCTTCACCCTCCCGGGTGAGCGCGACCTGTCCGCACACACGGTTTCATCGTGGTTTCGGGACTTCCTGGCCTCCTCGCCGGATTTGCACCCAGGCGCCTTTGATCACCACGGTCTGTGCGCGGGCAGGGCGTCTGCCGGCTTTGCCTTGGAGGTGCCCGAGCAGCGCATCCGCCACTGGGGCGACTGGTGCAGCGTGGCCATGTGGCAGTACATCAATTTGTATCGAATCCTGTCAGAGTGGGATTATCGCCTCCTTGGGTGGATGACGATTACCGCCCGTGATTTACATGACAGGTATGGCCACATCTTCTGCTCCGGAGGAGCATAGTGTGTCCGAGGGTGACTGGGCACACAAGTTGTGGGTACCTCGGGTTGTATTGGGACAAACAATCGTCTTTTGTAATGTATTGGTCTAGTGTGTGTGTGGACCTGGGTGGGACGAGGAGCCCGGCCCGGTGGAAATTTAATGTAATGCACTAATTGTGGACTGCACAATTGCCATTCACTTCGATGCAACTCGAAAGTAGGCGCCTTGCAGAGGTCCATTACCCGGGTCTTATTGTGACGCTTTTGAGAGTCAATGTTCCTCATTCCCACGATTGCAAGTCGTGATCCAAGGGGCTCCAGCGGACATGTCCAGGGACAAGTCAAGAGCAATCTGTGTGCGAACCATCCATAGAAGAAGAACGGGATGGCTTTAAGAATACCATTGTACTTAAAAGCGTTTGTATAACCATTACCAATGGAATTGTGAGGTGCGTTGGTTGTAGGTGCTTTTCACGACGTCGCCTCCAGGCTGTCTAAAAAGGCCAGTTGAAAAAGCAACGATAGTGGCAGTAATAGGCTTGGTAACTGTGGTTATGGCTTTAGATATGGATATGAAAGAAGACAAGGATCTTCCCGTATACAACAGGCGTTAAGATACGGGCAAAGAAATGCCGGTTTACATCAATTGAGTAGTATGCATTATACCGAATTGGTACCCTTAACGTTGATTCGATGCTAATCGGGGAGGGGGGTGGATTTGTATCGTCAAAATATTATGTAATTGCCTCAAAATCGATCATTGGATAGATTCTCGAAGCACCCCTTCGCGCTGGCACACCGCCTGGCACCATACGTCTTTTGATCCTGAATCTGAATGCGGTTCCCATCAGAGCAGCCTTCTGTGGGGGCAGGTGTTGTGCACGGTTTTCCTGTTCCCGGTGAGAGCTGGCTTCGATACCCTCGTCGTCACTAAGTGGTTTCCGGAGTATGGGGATTATGTCATTTTCGCCATTGAACAACAGGCACATGGGAATGCAGCAGAGATGCAAGTTTACGTCCTCAGAGTGCAATATTGCCGTAATCTGTGCGGCACGGATGCAGTGCTCAGTGGTGGCCAAAAGCGATAAACTTCAAGGGAAGAGAAAGCGGTGAACACCTGTCCGACATGTCACCATTCGCCACACTCATGCCCATTGGCTGGGCTAGGGATGCTTCTGCGCTTGTGGATAGGACTGCAGCCGAAAACGCAGGAATGCAGCAGTCAGATCTCATGCCGAAGGCTCCGCGCCTAAGAAACTGCAATCACCTCAAGTTGGCGATGCTTCTACAATTCAATTGCAACTCACGTCATCACCGCCATTTGCGGAATAAAATTGTGCTATCAGACCGCCCCCCAGCAGCTCCCAGAGTCAAGAACTGGACTTGCAGCCCGTCACGTTGATAGAGCCCGTGGAGGCCACCAAAACACAGACTTATCTTCATCCGCTAATTCCATTTATCCTCATTTTTTGTTCCCCATCCAGAATCTTCTTCGTTTGATGCCACCCATCGCCGAGGAGCATGATCTACTTTAAGCTGATTGGCAAATGACTGCTTTGAAAAATGGCGCCACCATCAGCTCGACTGCAGACTGGCCGAAGACACATATCTTCAATTGAAGGTACAAGCTACCCTAATTGGGATTATGATCCACTGCCTAGGACACTGATCCACTGTATTGGCGTCTTCTCAATTGCCACCTCACATGAGCCACTTCCTCTGCAGCACGGAAACACGTCCCGTCTTGTAGAAGGCAATTCCAAATGAGCACATCACAGCGGGACGGGTGCACAACGGCGCCATAAGCCGACAGGGTACACCGGCTGCGCTGCGATGCCCCACAAGCAGATGTCCAATCAGCGCTTTGTCAAGGTCCGCTGCTCCACTACGCTTCGCTACTCCCCATCCATTATTTTTTGAAATCGCGTAGCGCATCTACGGTCCTAGGCCACGACTGATCCACCATTTTGACCCAGGCATTTCCCCGAGCATGGGCCGCGACCGACAGGTAATAGTCCTGCCGGAGGTCCATGTGGCAGGGAGTTCTATGTTGCCATTCGCAGGTGCACCCACAAATACCTCCCTTGAATGTTGTGCAGGCAACATCTAAAATGCAACCGCAACGTCAACGCGGTGGCCCGATGTCCTGTCCCCAAGGTCTTCAGTCCGTTCACGAAAATTGCTTGCCAGGAATCTGACGTACAAAAGCAGATGCGCAGTCCCTTCAAATGCACGAGCCTTCAAAAGCAGGCGAGCCTGCATTGGACACACGGGCGGATCACCAAAGAACAGCGGCACTGCCGCAATGTAGGGGATAAGTCCCCTTTCTGAGGCACAAGTGTGCAGCAGAAACACACCCAAATAAAATCCTGTGCGGAGAGTTTCGCAGCATTTTTGCGCTCAGAGGCTGTCGCACGCCCGGTAGGTAGCGGGGCTCCCTCATGATGCAGGATCCCAAATCGCAGCCCTTGCCTCATGGGCGCGAACACGGGCGGCATAATGCCATGAAATGACCCTTGAAATCACTCTGTCCACGAGCAGGAGACGGGCAGCCATGTGCCGGCCGCACCCGTCCCCTCCAACCAGAATGCGCAGCTCATTCAAGCAAAACTGACGAGGTCGAATTCATGAGCCCGGACCGCGTCACTACGTTGCATTCCACCCTCCCAAATGAATTATGTCCCTGCCAGTGGAACCTAAATCAGCTTGACGCACACTGCACCGCATGCAGCAACAAAATGAAAAATTTAATCAACACGCTCCACGAAGCCATTCTTGCCCGCGAATGGCTGTCGAGCTTCCCCCATGGCCGAATCCTCATTGCATCTAGTCGAGAGTCCCCACACACACAGCGGCGCGCTACCGCCGCTCGCTCGGCTATTGACGTGGACAAATCGATCGCTCTTTCCTTCTTCCTACCCCTTTTCTCCTTTCCTTTCAATTGCCCCTCCTTTCCTCACGTTGAGGCCTTCCCCAATTTTCTTTGCCACCAGTCGCACTTTTGTTCCGCAGCCACGAGATTTCGAAGAAGTGCCACCACGAGCGCAACAGCACCCCGCAGAACAGTAATGGGCTTGTTGCATAACAGGTCTATTTTAACATTGCATTTTCCTCATTGGTTGAAAGATGATCTTCCGGTGCTGAGTTCCCGGCGGTCAACAAATTTGGAACCTGTCAACATCAATGCGGCAGGAGTCCATCCCTCCATCCCTGCTGCATGCTTTTGAATTCTTGACCACAACAACGTCCCTACGCTTCCCCTAGTTTCCCAATGGTACACAAAGTATATCAACGTTCTTGAATGGCTCACCCCCCCAAACCCTCCCCTTCTCATCCGTTAGTCACACGCTTTCATCCAATTCCATGTACATGATCGGATTCCGATCCTTCCTCTTGCCAGCCTGCGCTATGATCTCTCCCAGGTCGATCGCCTTCAGCCCATTCTCCAGAGAATCGCTCGAAGCCTGGCCGGCCAGATCTTTCGCCTGTGCCCCATCTTCGAGGGGCACATGCCAGGACTCAAAGCCAGGGGAGGCGGGCTGGGCGGCTGCTGGCGAGGCGGGCGAATCTCCCACTTCGTGCTGCCCAGCCGGCTCTTGCTGTGGGTCGTCTGCAGGAGCCTGGCGCTGCCACGGAAGCACCCTAGACAGGTATCTGAAAATCGCAGCGCAGCAGGCCAGGTGGCTTAATGTTAGCGCGGGCGCGGCTGGGCTGTCATTGGCTGGGCTGTTGTCCCATTCTGTCCACTTTCCCCCCTCCCCAACGCGAAGGTGCCACCTGGACAGCTGCGTGTACAGCCCAAGGCCCATTTTAATGGGCCGCCACCTTGATGGGCGCTGTGTGTCCCCGGCCCCGTCGAATTGAGCGCCCATCATCGACACCTGGCAGGCCCCTGAAAGGAGAAAGAAAGCGCATGAGATGTGCGGCGCTCTGCAACAATGTGGCCGGCCACCTGCGCTGCCGGTGGTACCCAGGCACAATGCAAAACTGGTGGGGAAACTGTTTTGAATGCTGTGTCGTTCGTGACGGCAAGCACAGGCCGGCAAGGCTCGACGGTTGTGTGCATTTGCAGCACGCACGCACTCATTGTTGAGCATATTTAAGGATGCTGATCAACAGTGTTAATTCAATCAACGCCGTCATTTCCAATATTCCATGGAATTTATGTGTGCGACTGGGGATGGAGGAGTCTGTGCTCTGCATTGGGTAAGGGTTATGGATGAATTTCGCAGGGAAAGACAAATTCGTTAGTATATTCTTTTAGTGCATAGGATATTGTCAGTCAGGGGAACCAAGCAGTTTGCAGTCAACAGGTTCAGATAAGGATACTGGTACTGCTGCCGCTTTCGGCGCAACAGGCCGCCAATCAATGCACGTTGTCATCCAATGCATTCAATATTTCCAGCGCCTCCAGTCCTCACAACGAATTTGTACCCATGGCAGCCGCTTCATTTGTGGCACGTAATCACCGAGGGCGCGGTCGCATTGCCCTCGATCGTCACCAATACTGCCCCAAAGCACTGGCAGGCCCTGCGCACAACATCATCGCCTTTCTGGCGCAGGGGATTAGATTGTCATGTCTCTCACAAAGTGAGTCAATGAGTGGGACGAGCATGGCTAGGCTTTTGACCGTCCTCGCGAAACGCGAGGGAGACATCGGAGCAGTGCCGCCGTCTGACGCGCGCAAGCAGCGAACTTGGCCATGCCATGTTCAGTGACAGGAAGACCAACCAACCCCGCGGCGCCCAGCCTTACCCCATGCCCCTCCATTGGAATGTATACAAACCATGAGCGCGGTACAGCCCCTGACAAACGCAATCGACATGATCAACAGCCAAGTGGGCGCGCCTGGAGGCGTGGAAGACCGCCCTTCTGCTCCCCTGCCGTTGGTACCGCTCGGGCCACGCAACGATCAGCCGATCCCCGCGCAACACCGCCGCTGCCGCGCCGTAATTGTGTGGGTAGGCGCATTACCCCCCACACACGCCGAGGCCGCCATGGCTCCCCGCCCCAGCGTCGCACCACCTTCCCCCCTTTCGGCGTACTGACAGCGGACGGAGCCAGGACCTGAGATGACGGGGCTGCGCGCTCGGCCCCGACGGGCGGGCCGACCTCGCCGGCGCTCCGCACGCCGACGGGCCCCCGGAGGCGGCCCGCGACCGGCCCCGGGGGCCCGAACCGATCCCCGTGGGTCGTCCAAGGGCGTTCCGAGCTCCACGGAGGCCGGCGGCTGCGATGAGGGCCGCCGCATCCTTCATCCACGCGGCCCAGGGTCGTCGTTCCGACCTCTGTCGGACGGATTCGCCCCATGCGACCTCGGTGCGGCCGGGCGGAAAGGCCGGCCGGATGGTGCGCGACACCCTCGCGGCCAGTGGATTCCGCCCGCCCCGCCCCCTTCCTCGTCGCGCGAACCTGGCCGCGCAGGGCGCCAGTCGGCGGACGCCTTTCCCATTCGCGATCCCGCCGACTGTACACGCGCATCGACGAGCGCGGAGGCGCGCCCAAGCGGTCCCGCGGCGACGCCCCCTCGACGGGCCGGCACTCGCGGGCGCTCCTACCCAACCCCGGCCCCGATCGCGCCGCATATTGCGCCGCGCGCAGCGACGCGGCAGGGCCTGGCGGCGGGGCCGCGCACCTGTGGCGCCCCGGCTGGCGTGTGCGGTCGCCCTCCGCCTGGCGTGGATGGAGGGCCGCTGGCGAGTAGTGACAATTGCGTACGACAGCCCTTTTAGAGTGTCGTTGTGCGGTCGTGCGCCAGCCGGCCGTCCCCCACCCCACGCCGCGCGGTGGTGGTTGCTTGGGCGTCAGCGGCCCGTTGGGCTGCTGTCCCCAACGAGGCGCCGCGGCAGTAGTTTAGGTGGTTACGTTCTTCCCCGCAGCGCCTCCGGCGCCGGCGGGCGGTCTCCGTTGAACGATCCCCGCAAGGGTCACCCTGCGTGGTGCGTGGCCGTGACTGGGGCCGAGGCGCCCAGGCGAAGTTCTTGGGATGTTCTCTGTACTGGGCCTGCGGGCCCACATGTCGGCCTCCTGAGGTTTGGGCGGTGGGCGGCCGCGTTTTCGTGATGCATCGAGATGTGTTAAGTACCCGGAAGTAATGTGTGCGCACGACTTACGGCACCAGGGGGGCCTTCATGCGGTGCGCCTGTACCTCCTCGCGCGTGTACTTTTCTTTCGGAGCCCGGTGGGGTACGCGCACCGGGGGGTAAAATCTGGGAGGTTTGTGGTGTTAATGGTGGTGCTGTGAGGGGACTTGGTATGTTTACCAACTTGGCGAGGGGGTGGGTGGTAGTGGGTGGGTGTGAGGGGAGGCCGCCCAAACTTCTGATGATAGGAGATTAAGTAATTGCTGCAAAATTGACACCAGCTGGGAAGATGCCCAAAACGCCGATAATCAATGGCAAACGAGCAAAATTTGTTCGAAAACCTCCCTCAAGCGTGCACGTTTTAAGGAAAGATCCGGAATGCCTCAACTGACACCCATCAAGCCTGCCCACTTCGCCCGCCGTTTCTATTAGCATTCCTTTTTTTCAGCCCACTACAATTGCTGCAGTTCTGATCGTTTGTCTTCCCTAAAATAACCTGACAGAGCTGTGCAACTTGGGTGTGGCTTAAGGAAGACACTGTTTTGAATTTGGTGTGCTTAGCGCCAAATTGACGTTAGCGGATGGGGGTTCCAGCCATTGACGCTAAAAGATTATGTTATTGCACTAAAATCAAAACAAGGTGGGAAGATGCAACAAAAAACGCCAAACCACAGGTCATGGCAGATAGCTCATGACTTGTTGCAAAATCGGCCTCAAAACTTTACATCTTTGAGAAGTCCTTATGATAGATCAATTTTATTCTTTTGGGCTGCTCCCATCGCTTATCAAGGCTTTTGACATTGTATTTTTTAAATCACTGCAATCTCCACAATTTCGGCTGTTTTGTCCCTAAAAATTGTTTTGAAGTTGTATGACATTGTTAGGTAATATTGCTGAGTCATTGACGCTATGCGTACCAAAATCAAAATAGTGTGTTCCCATAATGGTTCACCCTGGTATCTACATAATGATTGACACGAAGGAAAAGTGGTGGTGGGGTGGTGGTGGGGGGGGTGAGTGAGCCTGCCTGATGGTCCATCAATGCAAACCACAACGTTTTGTCTGTTGTTCTAATAAACTGAATCAAAGACCCGCATCACATCACTGAATACATCATTAATGACCCCACTTTTGCAATAGTCCCCTGTACAGAGATTTCATGTCTTTTGCACGGATGTTGGCATCTGCATTGAGCAGCTGCTGCATATTTTCCACAACAAAACCTCGTATTCTCCTGATGGACGATGGCATAGTGCTTGCCCCCTTTCCTCCTTCCTTGGAGAACGGCTCACCCATCATGATGAGTGAGTTAGAACACGACCATATTCAAAAAGCCTTTCGCCATGCCGCGGATCTATTTAAGCATTTTGGGTCAGATGGGGGCCTCGGTGGATATTTCGTGAATGGAAAACACAGAAACTGGCGAATGTGAAGGTCCCACCTGGTCAGGTCGCCTTCCTGCAGGATATGCCGGTCCCCAAATCTCCCCCATCCTGGAAATCGGATGTGATGTGGGCGCTATATCCCGGATATGCATATTCTGGATAGGGCGATATCTTGGATATGTACATCCTCGATATGCAACTTTCTTGCAGAGCATATAGGACCGTACCTTGTTGTTTGAACAAGGATAAAAGCATCATACAGCCATGCTACTCAACAGCGGTGAAGCAACGCACATTGATGCACCATTAGGACGATGTCACACCAGCGCTGAACAAATGCATTCGCTCATTTCTATAATGGGCCTTGGATCCAGTGTGGTTTCAAAGTGGCCCAGGTAATCGCAAATGCTGCGACCGTTATATCGTGGGCTTTTTGGAAGCCTACTCTTGCAAACCGTATTGGACCAGCGGTGCAACGTGCGTTGTAGCAGAGCACCAAGGTGTATGCCGCGCTATCTGTCACACCTGCACTGAACATGTGCCTGCACAATCATCTAGCCGTCGCCGGGAGAGCTGAGAGAGCGAGCGGTGCTGCTTTCTTCTGAAGTACCCTTATTTACCCGGTACAATAGGGGTCCGTATATAGCGCCCCCCCATGACATGGCCAAAAAGGGGGGCTATTGAGGGCCGGGGGCGCTCAAAAATCTATTTGTTGAATGCATTTAATTGTAGTTTTATTCATAAAATGAAACTCCCCATCACAAGAAGACGCAAAAGAGACCCATTAGCTGTGTTGCAGCCTGCTGATTGACCCATTGACCCATCGCAAACGCGTACCATACGCAATCGTGACACGGTAGTGGAACACCGTGTTTGGGGCTTGCACTGATGTTACGCTGTGCCTGTCACAACTCATCACGTGGACTTGCATAGCATTGCCCGCAATATGAATGCGGATTGTGCCCAACCGGGCAGGGCCACACCGCACCGTAGCGAACGGGGATAGCGGCCCATTGCGTTGAGCATTTCTGCAAATATCCATTCGCGACCACACGTGTATGTATTGGTGGGACGTCCTTGTGCCCTAGTGCTTTGCGTCGTTGCGAGCGGCGCATCACACAACGAACGCGCCCCGTCGCTCCCCACCCATGGCAGGTCGCCCGGTGCCATGAACTCCCTTGTGTGTGAGTTGCATGGCCAAGGGTAGCAGGTGCAGCATGGGCTAGTGCCAACGGTCAACAACGGCTGCACGGCGTGTAATAATTGGGCACAGAAGTCACAACAGAAAGGCGGGAGTGAGAGGCCGAACGTGGCCTCCCACTCTCGCCCACTGCTGCCCCCGCTGGCGCCGAATGCCACCCGTGGGTGCCCTGATTGGCACCCACGAGTGCAATCAATCAGCCCTGA